GGGAAAGTATATGGTTTTGTAATTATTGATGACTACTCGAGGTTCACTTGGACTAGATTTCTTTCACACAAAAATGAGTCTTTTGAGGAGTTTAGAACCTTTTTAACTTGGATTCAGAAAAAGCTAGGTTGTGAGATCTTGACCATCTATAGTGACCATGGGGGAGAGTTTGAACATGAAAGATTTAGAGATTTTGTGAGGAAAAGGGGATTAGCCACAATTCCTCAGCTCCTAGGACCCCTTAGCAGAACGAGGTAGCTGAAAGGAAGAACCGGACCTTAGTGAAAGCCGCTAGAGCCATGCTTACTGAGTATTCACTTCCAAAATACTTTTGGGTTGAAGTGGTTAATATAGCTTGTTATGTAATGAATAGGGTGAATGTTAGAGCCAAGCTAGATAAAACACCCTATGAGATCCTTAAGGGTAAGACACCCAATCTTTCCCACCTTCATGTCTTTTGTTGTAAGGTTTTCATTCACAACAATGGGAAGTCTCACGTAGGAAATTTTGATCCAAAATCTGATGAAGGAGTGTTCTTGGAATATTCTAGTGTTGGGCAGTCTTTTAGGGTGTTTAATAAGAGGACTTTGGTGGTGGAAGAAACTACACATGTAGTGTTTAATGAGTCTAATCCTAGAAAGCATGGAGTTGAGGATATTGATGATGTTGGAGAGATTACCATTAGAGTAGAAAATTTGGAGAAGGGAGTAGAACACCAAAACACTGAAGGAGTAGGAGATGTTACCCAAGGAGTAGAAAATGTAGATCAGGAGAAAAGGGTTGGACCTTCATACACTTTATCTAGAGATTGGAGATACTGTACAAGTAACACCAAAGATTTGATCTTAGGAGACCTTTCTAATGGAGTTAGGACTAGATATGGACTTAGGAAGGAAGTGAACCACTCTGCCTTTATCTCAATGACTGAACCCACCAATATAAACCAAGCCCTTTCTGATGAGTTTTGGATTTTAGCCATGCAAGAAGAATTGAACCAATTTGTTAGGAATGATGTTTGGGAGCTTATGGAAAGACCAAAGGGATAAAGTGTAGTTGGAACCAAGTGGGTCTTTAAGAACAAAGTGAATGATTCTAGAGTGGTGGTAAGGAATAAAGCAAGATTAGTGGCTAAGGGGTATAACCAAATTGAAGGGATAGATTTTGAGGAGACCTTTGCCCCTGTAGCGATATTGGAAGCCATTAAAGTACTATTAGCCTTTGCCTGTTATAAAGGATTTAAACTTTTTCAAATGGATGTCAAGAGTGCCTTTTTAAATGGGGAAATAAAAGAGGATGTGCTTATAGAACAACCCCCAGGTTTTGAGAGTTCTCAATTTCCAAATCATGTTTTTAAATTAAAAAGGGCCTTATATGATTTAAAGCAGGCACCCAGAGCTTGGTATGAGAGACTTAGCACATTCTTACTAGAAAGGGGTTTTGTTAAGGGGAGCATAGACACCACCCTTTTTCTTAGGAAAGTTGGAGATGATTTGCTCATTTTTCAGATTTATGTGAATAACATACTTTTTGGATCTTTTAATAAAAAAACTTTGTGATGAATTCTCTAAAAATAATGAGTATATAGTTTGAGATGAATATGATGGGAGAGTTGTCCCACTTTTTAGGGTTTAGCATAGAACAATTAGATGATTTTCTAAATCAATCAAAATACATAAAGGACATTTTGAAGAAGTATGAGATGGATAAAGCCAAGTCAATTAATACTCCCATGACTTCTAGTGTTCTGTTGGATAAAGACCCAAGTGGTAAGTCTGTTGATCAGGAGAAGTATAGAGGCATGATTGGATCTTTACTTTACTTGACTGCTAGCCTACCTGATATAATGTTTAGCGTTTGTCTTTGTGCTAGATTTCAAGCTGACATTAAGGAATCCCACTTGACTGCAGTTAAGAGAATTCTTAGATACATTTTAGGGACCCAAAACTTAGGAATTTGGTGCCCTAGGCACAACACTTCTTTTGAGATTATTGGATTTTTTGACTCTGATTTTGCAGGATGTAAGGTGGATAGAAAAAGCACTTCTGGAATTTGTCAATTCATAGGACAATCTTTGGTCTCATGGTCTAGGAGAAAGCAAAACTCTATTGCACTTTCCACTGCTGAAGCTGAGTACATTGCCTTAAGAAGTTGTGTGGCCCAAGTCCTTTAGTTAAACTAGCAGGTACTGGATTTAGGATTACCTGTAGGCACCATCTCAATTTTCTGTGACAACACTAGTGCCATCTGCATCTCTAAGAATCCTATCCAACATTCAAGGACTAAGCACATTGACATTAGGCATCACTTTATTAGAGACCATGTGACAAAGGGGATATTGAGTTACACCATGTGACAACTGAGAATAAACTGGCTGATATATTTACTAAACCACTGGCCTTCGACACTTTTAGCTCTTTAAGGACCAAATTGGGTGTGATTGACATAAATGCATGAACTTGATTTTTATTTGCTTTTCTTTTTTTTTTCTTCTTCTTTGCTTTTCTTTTTCTTTCTTGTTCTCTTCTTCATTTATTCCTTTATACTTTTTGTTTATTGCTTTATTTTTTTATGCCTTTTTAATCATCGCTGAAATGATATCGTATACCTTATTCTTGCTTTTTAAATTTATAGTCAATGTTTTACGTCTCTTAATCCATTAAAGGGTAAAAATATAACGTTGATTGTGTCTCTTTCTCTAACATATTTTAGTGGCACAGTTTTCTTTTCTAATCAATATTCTATCTCAAATTAACAAATGGAGTATGCAATTAAGATATTTTCTAATCTTGTTACAGCAAATCTATCTTGTATGTATAATGATCAAAAGTTTTTTTTATCACATCAAGAATTCCTCGTTACTCTTGTCATTGCATTTATTCATACAATTATTGATTCTGTTTTGTAGATTGTTCTTCTCTATATTAGAGAGTGAGTTATTCTTATCTAATATCTAGAAGATATACTCACAACTATGATTATTTAAGAGTTTTTTGAAAGAGAATGTAGCTTGCAAAAATAAAAAAAGTGGCCAATGATGTCAAAAATCAAAAGATACGCAATGATGGCAAATTGAAAACAAATATATACACAAAGTGTATCAAAAAGAAGCATAAAGCACCATTCAAATTGACAAGAGGCATAAAATGAGCCCACCAAAAGCAATCTCTCTTCTCTTTTCAAAAACTTTTAAAACGGAAGAATTCATATATCACTTGATAAAATCAAAGGCTTGATTTCGACTTTTTGCGATTGTGACATAATTACTTTGATACATTATTCTATAAGATATTTTTCCTGAAATCAAGTGGTGAACATATCCTTTTTCATATCCAATTGAATTTTTTGAGTTAGGTCATTATTTCAAAAGACTATTTTACCCTGAAAGAAGTCCGAGCTTAGGGATTAACATGATCGAATATTCTACCATTTTTTGGGATTTTGATGTTGATAAATCATTAACTTACAAATCTTTAAATCAATCACATGGAAGACTACATCATTTTCATGCCTTGGTTAAAAAAAAAATTTGGGTTGTTTACTTTGTTTTTTAGTTTCCTCCTCCTTTTTTAGATGTCAGAAGGGGGAGTAGTATGTTGGTGTTTGCACTATTTTATTTTTCACTGGTTTATTCTGAAAAATTTTAACTACTATTTTTGATCGTCGAAGTGTTTGACATCAATAAAAAGGGGGAGATTGTTGCAAATCTGTTACACATGGATTATGATTTTGATGTTAGCAAACACTCTTGTTTCTCTACGACTGCCTTTTCTACTGACATTTTAGGGCCACAAGATCGGACAGAAATCGAAATCAGCTCAAGATTGGTTAGACTAGATCTGAGTTAGTCTATAATTTTCTTTTTCCCTTTCTTGAGTCAATTGTAACCATTGAAGTGTTCTGATGCTAAGTAACCTTACACACACACTTGAGTGGTTTTTCTATTTGATTTTAAATTTTTGTTTTTACTCACATCGTCCCGAACGATATTTATATCGTCCTGGACGATCGGGTGTGGACCTTCGAAAGAGCACCGCTCGTGGGGTACGAACGTAGAGGGTACGGCCGCACTATCCCGTAGGATAAAATGATCATAGGCCTGTACACTCGACACGAACAGGTCAATGGAAGGGCAGATTGGATCGTGCATACTGTTGACCTCATTATTCGAGGTCAATTTCCCAGAAATTGACTCTAGCACCTAGGTCTTCGTAGCCTAGTGTAGACGTCGCCCATAGGATTTCTCTTAGGTGAACGCCCGTTGACGTAGCATCGACTCAACCCTATCACTCAATTTGAATCAAAATCAATTCAATCCAATTTCAATTCAACTCTGAAATTAACTCAAATCAAGCTTGATTTTTTAATTCATAGATATCGATCGACTCAATCTAATTCATTTTCGATCAAATTGATACATCATTGGGCTCAAATCAATTCACCAATCGAATCAGATCGAATCAAATTCATTCGACTCTAGTTCATTTTTTTTTAATAATAATGGCCCCGATTAGCCCGATTTGATTCATCGCGAACTAATATCAATTTTCTTTTAAATGGGAAAATTTAATTTGATAATATATATATATATTAATCTCATACATGAAAATTTGATTATTTTTATTTATATATATCCTAATAACTATATCTTAATAAAAAAAATTCAAATCAAAAGATAACTTCTTAAATCCTAAAGCAAGAACTGTATTCCCCACGTCTCTCTCTCTCCTCTCTATACACACAGAACCGAACCTAGCCCTCACGAAATTTCTCTCCAGATCACACAAACCATAAAAGCCCTCACTCACTCAGTGGTTCACAACCCACGATCTCCCTCTCTATTTTTTGGAAGAAAAGCCGCACGAACCCTTCATCTATCCCACTCACACTCTCATTCGTACGCTCTCCCTCTTCTCTCTAATTTAGGAAAACCCAAGGAGAACCGTCCCCAGCAGTTTGCACTCCCTACGATCTCTCTCAGCAGTTCACATAAAGGCTCTCACCTCTTCTCAATTTGCAGAAATCCAACCCTCCTCTCCAATTTTGCATGAGAAGCTCCCAGCCTCTCCATCTCCTTCAGTTCGTAAGTCCGCCTCCCTCCATTTCGCACGACCCCAAGATCTGCAACCCCTTTCTCTCATCGATCCCTCGCCTCCACAGACTTGCCCTTACCACCGACCCTCTTCACTGTAGGTAATCACCTCCTTCTTCTCCTCCATCCTATTCTTCTCTATCTCTTTTCCATCATCTTCCTTATCTTTATTCTTCTTCCTTTTTGTTTGTTGGTTAGAGAAATTGATTGATATGAGATATGATTAGAATTGTAGTTACCTAGAAATAAAATGATAATGGAAATTGCTAATATTTAAAGAGAAAATAATGAAGTTTGTTTTCCTTCTATAATATTGAAACCGATTACATATAATTTTGTATCTCATTTCTTAGAGAATGAAAAAGAGCTTTCATTCATATTCTTGAAATAATATGAGAGGATTTTGCCTGTTTAAGTTATGCTGATGTTTGGCTTCCATAAATCCATTAATATCTACACCTCTTTCTTTTGTGGTGAAATAAGAAACGAATGTTATATTTATTCATTAGTTTTATAAAAATATTAACGACAAGAATTGTAGAAGTGGCTAAGATATGTGGATCTGAAAACATTTGGTGGATTTCTCAAATCAATATAACATATATAGATCTCATGTGCTTTAATACATTATACCAATTTTAAATTCGGTTATGATAAACATAACTTATATTAGTTTCAATGATTACTTGACGAATCATGTTAAAAATTTTCTTTACCCATAGATTATGTGAATCTTTATATTCTAAATAAGAAAATTTGATTTTAGTCATAATTCATAAGTGAGTTTCCTACCTCTTTCTTTAGATGGTTATATCTTCATGTTTATTTCAAAGATTCCATTGGATCTTGTTGGAAAGAAAGATATAAGGCTTATTTTAAATTGAAAACTGATTGAAGAAATATCATGTGCTTCAAATATAAGTTTTTTGCATAAACCCATATGTGATATCACTTCATAATGGTTGAAATATTTTCTTGAATTTTAGAAAAGTAAGTTTGCATCAAGTCTTCTTTCTTTTCTTATTTATATTTTGGGAATTGTTGAATTGTAAATAGTCATATGTGGGTTTATGGTGGAAAATATTTGGTGAAAATTATTGTGGATAATCGTCCTTCGTTTTATATGTATATATGCTCTCCATGTTTTGGAAAGGGTGATGTGATGAACTCGTGTATGATGGTAGAAGAGTATTGTATAAGAAAGGATGGAAAGTGAAATGTAGATTGTGAAAGGGTAAAATGTTTTGAAAATGTAAAATTGTTATGTGAAAGGTAAGATGTCTATGTGTATCTTTCGGAAAGTAAAATGATGGGTTTTAAAAGGTTTTAAAAGTATGTTTGTGTGTGTTTTTAGGAAGTTTTAGAAATTGAAAGTGTATGTTTATGTTAGAAAATAAAATGTGTAAAAGTGGAGATGTATTTGAAATTGTATGTGTTGAAAGGTAAAAATTTTGTGTTTTTGGAAAGTGTTTGTGTTAAAGTTTAAAATGTGTAGAAAAGGTGCATTGAATATTGAAGAGTTTAAAAGTGTTTTGTAAAGGAAGAGTGTGGAGTATGATTTTGGATATGTGGAAATTTGCAAATTGTAAGGGATAAAATATTCGTTTTATGAAATTTGTGTGAGTTTTGTAAGAGTGAAAATGTATATTTGGAAAGATAAATAGAAATATGGAACTTTTTAAAGAAAGCAAAAATTCTCTTTCCTTCTCTACCTCTCTTTCCCCCTTCTACTTTTCCTTTCTTGTTGCCTCGGGGTAAATGTTGGAAAGATATTCAATATACTATCAAAAGTGAAAAGTTCGAAAGACATTCAACCAAGCCGGTGATCAAGCCCGAAGAAAGGTATGTATTTTATTTTTAGTAAATTTCAATTATGTTATTATTATTTGTTAAAAGTGCTTCTAATCCCTCTTTTCCCTATTTTTCCCTATTTTCTTTTCTTTATTGGCATAAACTACGAGGAATGGTACTGGTCGAGTGGAAAAAAAGTACAAGGAGCTAATGGCATCAGTCGCCTCTATCCAACCGGGTAGAGGTGCTACGGACGGAACCACCGGTTCGTAGCCCTCGTTGATTGTGAGTATTCTAAACTTAGAAAGCCTTAAGGGACCCCTTGATGTGGTTTGTGCGGATCCTTCCCTTTTAGGTCCTTGTAGTAACTTCAATTTTATTAGGATTATTTTTGTTTTATTTTAGATCCCCAAACTCCTTTTACACACGCGCGAAGTCCTAAGGGTTAGTAATAAAAAATTTTTCACCCATATAATATTAGTAACATTTAAGGACAATAATTAAGGACTGAGTCTTAGAAAATCTAGACTTAGGATGCATGTACACTTTAGGATAGAAATATATAACATAGAAAATTTAGTGACACCTCACCTTAGAGTTAGTGAATATTTTCAAATTAAATTTAATCAATTAGAAAATTTTAGCCAATCATTAACCTAGGACATATCAAAACCTCACAGCTTACTACACACACTTAGATTTGTTTGCTAGGACAACCGATTCTAGTTTAAGGTTAGGCCGGTATTTATTTTCTTACTGCATTGTGACGGGCTTTCTCGGCTTTTATTGCATGTTGGATGTAAGATTTTTGGTATGTTTGTTTACTTACTTTTACTGCACTCCGCGATATGATTTTATTGACGATTAGATTACCCATAGGTTAGGAGCGATTTGGTTGTTAACAAAATTTTCTGCAGGTGGCCACACTCATGCAGGGCAGTAAAGGGGGCTAATTAATTAATAATTATATAAATGCTATAGGTGCTCCAGTTGCTTAGCCCCCAAATAAAAAGGAGTGTGGCCAAGTGTGGCTAATTGATTTAATTTAAATGCATATATATAACTGCTTGGGATGATTTTTATTATAAACTGTTTAGAATAACCCTGCAGGTGGTCTAGATTTTCTTTCTCTTTCTGTGAAATATAATGTAAGGTAAATGTGTTTGAAAATTATTATAAATTGTGAAAGTGATTTTGAAAGTGGGATATCACATCCAATTTGGAATCCAAAGAAAGGAGAATATACTTCAAAGGATTATTCTCTTTTATTTAAAAAACAAAATTAGGATGATTTTATATCCAAATAGAAAAGAAAATACCCCCTTTAGTGATGAGTTTCTTTTCATTTGGATATCCAGACCCGACAGATACAAGGAGTACGTAGAAAAAGAAAGAACAAAAACAGAAGCAAGAAGATGAAGAACTGAAGATACAAGAAAGAATATATCCCATTTCAAAGATCACTTGCATCATTCTTAGGATTAGAATCCGGGTTTGTTGTCAGTGGTACCCGGCCATTTTACTTTTCTGCAAATTCTGGGTGTAATTATATGGACATTGGACATTATATTTTGGATTATTTAAAATGATTATTTACATTATTTGTGCAGTAGCTTTTTTTAGGGACCTTGCATGTCGTGTTTTGTTTTAGCCTGAATACGAATCGGAGTGCTTTTTTCGTAAGGGTACGCTTAAAATTCTTCTACTTGTAATTATAATAAAAAATTTTAGGCTCATATAGTAATTCTAACGATCTAAGAAGTAAGCTCGGGGCCGCCGAGAGTCAGCATAAGCATATTATTACTTTATCTTCCTTGTTAGGCACCTCCCCGCCTGCGGGTTCTGGCAGACCACTTAATCTATGAGGGTACAGTTCTGTCAAGGGGAAGTTGTGCAATCTCTAGGAAAAAACCTATTTTTTAAGCCTAATTTTAAAAGTGCTTCATGATCATTTTATGCATTCGAGTCAATTAGCATGCATTGCATTAAATACAAATTAAAAAAGAGTCTAAAATATTAATTGCATTTCTAGCATTTTTCACCCTACATAAGTTGAGGGGCCAATTAGGGTCTGTCTTAGATGTCGGCCCCCATTTCATTAAAACTTAAGTAACATCCCTACCTATCTTTCATAAGAGACTGGAAACATGGTTTTAAAGCACTTAGGTGGTTAGCTGGCTCCCCAATCCAGGCCGGGATAAGTCCAGATTTGCACTTCATTAGTTATGTTCAGGTCACTATTTTATAGTACCCAAATTAGATTTAGGTTCTGAGGCAGATTCTTTTTAGATCTTAAGTCCTAGCCCTCTGGGAATATAATACCAAATTTCTAATAAAATGTCAACTTAAACATAAAATTTTCTCATAAATGTAAAGCCCAACATATGGTAGACTGAGGTCGTCTCTGGACTTTCCAGAATCCGATACCTCCTACTTTTCATCATCTGACTCGCTAATAAGTGTTCAATATTGAGTTTTCTCCTTGGAAAATCCTTACTTATGTTCTTGTCTTCTACTTTGTAGTCAAAAGGGTATGAAATCACTGCTTTAATCAAGAGTTTTCTTAGGAGTATCCCTCCTAGGATGTAATTAACTATAGGGGCTTGCTCCTATAGGGATTTGAGAACCCCAGACTAAAATAAACCTTATTTTTTTTATATAAAGCAAGGAAAGAATCTTTGGGAATGCAGATGTCTTTAAAAAACTTCATTTCTAATCTTAAATATACTTGTAGGATGTTATTATTATCTTTTTAGATAATATAATTTCTTGCTTATTATATTCAACTTTAGAAATGATAAATTTTATAAAACTCATTCTTCCTTTTGGATGTCTCAAAGAATTTTATGTTCGTCTTTCAAGATGATATAATATTCTTTTTGCTATATCTAAATAAAAGGATGAATAAATTTTTCAAAAAAAAAAGCTTATTTTTATTTTTAATCACATTCTTAAGAATTTCATGTTTATCTTTTGAAATAATATGTTATTCTTTGAACTGTGTTTGATCATAGAAATATCATTTTCAAAACTCTATTTTGATATTGAATCCATTATAGAATATTGTGTCAGTCTCTTGAGATTGTACTTTATTCTTAATGCAGTATTCGATTACAAAATAGGAGAAATCAAAATCTGCGTGGTGACATACTTTTTCCCACCAAGGTTTTTCTGGCGACTCCGCTGGGGAATCAATCCTCTCCCCATCTTTAGTAGTATTTTATACCCTTTTCGTCGGTAGTATACTTGTGCTTAGCATAGGTGGTAACTACTTTTCTTCCGCCGGCTCATTTATTCATTTCATTCTTGAATAATTTGCCCGGTATCTAAAAATTTTTTTTTAGAGGTCTTATTTTGGACCTCGTTAGAAAATTAGCGAGTAGCTCCTTTATAATGGCCTTTTTGTAAAGTAAATCCCCGTACTGATTCGAATGTTGTAGTTATATTTTTCTTGTAGCTTAATATTTGAGTTAGCACTAGGTCCTAAATTTCAAAGTTATAATTAAAATATTAAATAAAATTTAGTTTTATCTCAATACTATATATTGCAGTTATATTCTTATATAACTCAATATATATGAAATGAGATAGAATTTAGTTTATTAAGTTTGATTAATTAAACTTTGCAATTTAAATAAATTATTCAAAATCTAATTAAAATTCTCTTTTAAATTTCAGGAAAAATGACGGGTAAATTAATCTTCTCCCTATTTGATAACTTGAACCTGTCCTATAATCCATTTGCTGAGGGTAGTATAATACAATTTGAAAAAGGATTTGAGGATTTGCAGTTGTCTGTTAGTGGACCTGAGTTCACTATTGTTCCACCCACTGAGGTTGCTAATCAGAAACCTATCCTAGAATTCACTTTGGGATGCGGGTCTCAAACTGCTCCTATAGACCCTAAGCCTTCTGTGTTTACTAGGATTGAGCAACTTAATCAAGACCAAAAACTCAAGTCAGTTGTTGTGGTAGAAAATTCAATTCCTTTTCAGTGCGCCCTGTTAGTTTGAGATTGGATCTTCTTCCAATTTATTGACGATTATGACTAAGACTCAAAGAAGGAATAAAAATCGTCGCATAAAAAGGAGAATAGAAAAACTAGGAATGTCAAAGAAAAATGAGTTTATCCCTCCAACCTCTCCACATCTTAGTGGTAGCAGGTTCCATCTCCTCTCCGTAGCTGATGGAGAAGAAGATGTGAGGTTGATTACTCGATCAGCCCCTATTGCTGTTAGAAAATCTGCAACTGAGCCAACAAAAAGTAAAGAAACACACATTCAGAATTTGGTAAAGGCTATCATACAAGATTGTGCAGATGGTCCTCCACATACTAGAGAAGAATTTTTAAGGAAAATGAGAAGATTGATCAGTGATAGGATTGAAGAAGAAACCTTAAGGTAAAAACATATTAAAACTAGGGTAGGAGGTCAGTCGAGAGCAACAGATTATAAAAGAAAATTCAAACCAACTGCAATCTCTGCTCTCACTGATGGATACCCTAAGGAACCAGGAAATCCAGTAGAAAGACAGAGAGTATTGTATTAACTGATGCTTCAGTAAAATTTGAAAGTACTCAACAGGTTCCACAGAAAATCAGCCGTCAGTTGTCCCCTTCTTCAGCACCACCACAGAGTCCTAGTAAAATTCAACGTTATTCTCATACCCATTCTTCTCCCAGATAGATAGGCACCACTCTACGGGTCCTTCTCCGTCTTCTTATCCTGATGTAGAGCGGTTAGAATCCTCAAACCAACCCTCTTCGACATCTAATGAGAAGAAGGTTTGGAGACCCAAGGAAAAGGCTACTTCTCCTATAGTAGCTTCACCTGAAAAGCCTATAGAAAGTGAACTTAAAGAGAAGGAGAGGGTTGAGAATACTATTCCAGACCACATGGACTGAAAAATATGTTCCTGTTGATCTCAACTATGTCTCTGGAAGATCTATAGAGGAGATGATAGGTGAACTAAAAGACAATATTAGAAATCTGGATGAGGAAGAGGCTTTGAACTTTGACTTAGATAGAGATGATATGTTAGATGATATAGTGGCTGATGTTCATATGGTTGAGACAAGAAGAACATCTCATGATGAACAGATTGAGGATGCTGTATTACAAGATGTTGCAGTTGAGGAAGGCATAGCGCCAGACTTAACTCAACGTCTTGTACAATAGTTAAAGCAAAAGGATGAGCAGATTTCAAATATGGAAAGGAAGATAGAAGAAATGATGACTACTATGGCTTCTTTCCAAAGTCAGGGTCCTTTACCACCACGAGCACAGGTTGAGTCTTCTCAACTCGAGCCTGTTCAGGTGGTAGGGAAGAAACAAATGATTGAGACTATAGAAGAATACCAGCAAGATTCATAAATTAAAGCTTCTCAGTCAAAGGAAATAAAACAAATGGTAGAAAAGCAAGTAAGGGAGGCATTAGTAGATTCACAGAGCTCGTCATATACTCCAAAGGGTAGACCCTACCCAGAGGAGTTTGATGCATTCCCAAAGGGGTTTGTGCCTCCCTCATTCAAGATCTTTGATGGTACTGGGAACCCAAGGAAGCACATAGCATACTTCAGAGCCAACTGTTGCAATGCTGGGGGGAGTGATGCTTTGCTTTTTAGACAGTTTGTCAGTAGCTTGTCAGGGGTAGCATTTGATTGGTATGCAGATCTTCCAAACGGTTCAGCACACAGTTTTACAGAGTTAAAGAACATATTTGTTAAGAGATTTGTAGGCAGTCAGCACCATGTTACAGTTGGGGATCTTGTGATAGAAAAACAGAAGCCTGGAGAAAAGTTAGTTGACTACATACTTAGATGGAGGAACTTGAGCATGAAGTGTGAACCTCAATTGCAAGAGCAACATGCAATTGAGATTCTACTTAAGAACATTCATGGACCGGTAGCCTTTCTTTTGAAGGGTTTTACTATTAAGACATTTGAAAAGTTGCTCAATAAAGCCTCCAGTCTCCAAGAAGAAGCTTCATAGCTCTCCTTCCTAGTTGATCAGTCCGCTTCAGACCCTAGGAAGTTGAAACCCCAGAAGGTCTTTTAGAAGAAATCTGGGTAAGTTTCAACTATGGACAGGGGAAAGCAGCCAATGAAAGTTCAAGCAGAAAATCCTCAGTTTTATAATCAGCAGTATCAGAGGCCACAGAATCCATCACCATAGTTTCAGCCACAGTTTAATCAGCAATAACCTTATCTTACTCCAAAATAAAGAAAGGAAAAATAGGAAAAGTTCAATGAGATGATTGGTAAGACATACCCCTTTAAGAAGGAGGCTTTAAAGAAGATATTAAAAAATCTTCTAAAAAAGTCAGACTTTAAATTGCCTGCACCTAAAAGGCCAGAAGAAGTGGGTAAGTCAGATCAGTTTAGTTATTGCCCCTACCATCAGATGATAGGCCATCAACTTGAAGATTGTATCACTTTTAAAGAATGGCTTGACATAAACATAAAATCAGGAGCTGTAGTGATTCCCAAGGAATACTTAGTGGATCCGGGGTAGGGATCAGCTAAGTGTGTGACTAGTGAGCCTATTGTTCCTACTTCTTTTTCAAATTCTGATTCCACTTGGGATATAGTTTTATCCCGTTCTTCAAAGAAATATCTAAACAAACTTTACTTTTCTTCTCTTCAGGAGTCTTTGGGAGCTCAGAAGCCTCTCCAGGTTGATCTGATAGTTCCAGAAGATGATGTAGAGATGACTCCACCTTCAGAGCTTAAGGAAGCCTAAGTAAGCCAGGGTCCTATAGTTCAGGAGAAGGAGGACACTATAGATCCTTTTGTTGCTTTTAGTAGTGTTGATTATGATGTATCTAGTAGAGTTGTGTTTTCTTCAGATGGGGAGATTGTTATCCTCAATCCTCTTATCTTAGATGACTTTTATTTTGTTAAGTGTGATGATATCAAACCAATGAAAAAGGATTCTGCTTATATCTTGTCTATTTCTGATAATGATGTTACAGATGACTTGAAAAATATATCTGAAAATGATTCTCTGCATGATCAATTTAATTTTGAAGAATTAAAACATTCTCTTGGTTATTATTCAAATAGTGATGTCCCTGCTTTTGATTTGCAGGGTATGCCTATCTGTATTGAAGCCGAGATGTCTGATTCTGAAAATTTAACAGAAGTAAAATCAGAATTAGCTGAGGTCGAAGAAGATAACCCGCCTGTCACTTCTTCTGAAGAGATAGTGCAAATCAAGCTTCGTCGCGACAAAGTATTACCACCTTATGCTTCTTCTGAAGATAAAGGGAAACAAGTTGTTGACGAACCAGCGTCTTCTCTTCCACCTCAACCCGTTCCTTTTCAGAGTCTAATTGAGAGTGGAATGCCCAAGGTCGATTATAATGTCCTAGCTCATCTCAGGAAGCTGCCTGTCAAACTGAGCATTTATGATGCCTTAATTCTTTTCAAAGAAATGAGGGAAGCGTTAATCAAAGCTATGTTAGATCTAGATATTTGCATGACCCAGTTAGCAGCTGCACAGCCTGATGAAGCTCTTTGTTCCAGAGGAGTTCCTGAAATTTCTTTTTCTGATGAAGATCTGTGTTTAGGAACGGCTGATCACAACCATCCATTATACATAACAGTGAACATAGATAACTTCAGATTGTCACGTATTCTTGTAGATCCTGGTACATCAGTTAATATTATGACTCTAAGAACTCTTGTCTATTTGAGAATAGACGTACATAAGCTCAGCTCAGACAAGATAATCTTCCAAGGTTTTAACGAAAATGGCGAGAGAGCTTTGGGTTAAGTTACTCTCTTGTTAGAGATTAAGGATTTTAGAACTGAAGCAAAGTTTCATATTATAAATGCTCCAACATCCTTTAATGCTCTACTAGGTAGACCCTGGCTTCACAAATATAGAATGGTTCCTTCATCCCTACATCAGTGTATCAAGTACATCAGAGATGGTACTGAGCACTGTATTAAGGGAGATTTGCAACCATTCTCGATTCATGAAGTAGGAATTTATGAAGATGCCGCCTATTATTTGCCTAAAAAGCAAACAGTTATTTTCAAAGATATTAAATTGGCCAAAAGTGAAATTGCACTTGAAAAGAAAAATGAAAAAGAATAAGAAGAAAAAAGAGAAGAAGAATATCCCTGCCTCGAAGATAGCATTCGTTGGCATCCTGCTCCTCCCACACAAAGAGGTGGTAGGATGACCCAACGAGGGCGAAGTAGAGGCAGAGGATGGAAAAATCATGAAAGTGCAATGTATGATAACATTTAAAAGCAAAACCCTACGATACACATTGATTTAGAATCTGGTTGAGAGGATGAATCATATGTACCGAAGGATGAAAATAGTAATAAAAGGCCAAAATTTGAGATCTTTTTGGAAAATGACAGTGATGAAGATAAAATTCAGGAAAATATAGAGGATGATTCGATTTGTCTACCTATGAAAGACTTAAAGGATATGTCAAAACTTTAGCTCTAACCCCACTATCTCAAGATAGTGTAGCCGGGTTGGCAGTTAAAGTTTCACCTGCTTTGAGCGATGATTGTAAAACTGCTAAGTTTATTCCTTATTCTAGTAAAAATATTGAAACTGATGTACACATTGATGATCCTTTTATGAATGAAATAGTGGAACTCCCTTTTGATTGGTATTCTTATTGTGTTAAAAATTTAATTGAGCAAGGTCTAGCCCCATCTACTTGGACTAAACGTCAAGCTCAGTCCTTTGAAAGTCTTTGGAATACAGAACTCCATAAACTAAAGTCAAGAGCAGGACTAGGCTTTAATACTATTTGTCCATTTAATGATGATGATTATTGCTTAGTGATTACTAACAATGTAGGATCTTATCATCTTTTGGTAAAGGACATTAAAAATCTTAATGAATTTTATTTAGAAACTTCAGATGATTCGAATGATTTTCAATTTAAGGATGCACCTCCTGAACTTGAAGAGGAAATCCAATCAACTATTAACGAACTAAAAGAAATTAACCTTGGTAATGAAGAAAATCCACGTCCGACATTCATAAGTGCCTTATTGAATGAGGATGAGTCAAATAACTTAGTCAAGTTACTTTCAGAGTTTAAGGATTGCTTCGCTTGGAGTCATGACGAAATGCCCGGATTATATCCAGAAATAGCAGTTCACAAACTTGAAATTCAACCTGACATAATCCCTGTCAAGCAATCCCCACGACGCATGCGTTTAGAAGTTGAACAATAAGTGATAACTGAAGTTAAGAAACTGATTGATGCAGGCTTTATTCGAGAGGAGAAATATCCCTCATGGTTAGCTAGTGTCATCCCAGTAAAGAAGAAAAGTGGTCAAATTCGCGTATGCATCGATTATAGGGATCTGAATAAGGCATGTCCGAAAGATGAGTTCCCGTTACCCATACCAGAACTCATGGTAAACATTGCCTCTGAGCATGAAATTTTCTCTTTTATGGATGGTTCATTTGGATATAATCAAATCAAGATGGCTCCTGAAGATGAAAAATTTACTGCATTCAGAACACCTATAGGGGTCTTCTGTTACAAAGTCATGCTCTTTGGACTTAAAAATGCTGGTGCAACTTACCAGCGAGCTATGACCCAAATATTTGATTATTTAATCCACCAACAGGTGGAATGTTACATCGATGATTTGGTTGTCAAAAGTCACCAAAGGGAAGACCACCTTCATGATCTAAGAATCATTTTTGAAAGGTTGCACCGCTATGACCTAAAGATGAACCCCTTGAAATGTGCTTTCGGAGTTACTTCATGGAAATTCTTAGGGTTCGTAGTGAGACATCGAGGTATAGAAATTGATCCTTCCAAAATAAAAGCCATCTTAGATATGCCACCTCCTAAAAGTTTAACCCAATTAAGATCTCTTCAAGGTAGGTTGACATATCTATGAAGATTTATTTCTAACTTATCCGGTAGGTGTCAATCATTTGCTGCTTTATGTAAGAAAGATGCCCGATTTTATTGGGATGAAAAGTGTCAAAACGCTTTTGAAAATAAAAAACAGTATTTGTTAACACCTCTAGTCATAGCAGCTCCTATTCCGGGAAAACCTTTAATACTTTACACCACAGCTTTAAACAATTCTCTTGGCGCCTTGTTAGCCCAAACTAACGAGGCAGGAAAAGAGAACGCACTTTACTACTTGAGTAGACGACTCTTACCAACTGAAGCTAATTACCCACCTATTGAGAAACATTGTTTAGCCTTGATTTTTGCTGCCCAGAAATTAAGACATTACATGTTAGCTCATAAAATCAATCTTATTTCTAGAGTCAATCCACTCCAATACCTAATGACTCGTCCAACATTGTCAGGACGTTTGTCAAAATGGTCAATGTTCTTACTCCAGTTTGATATCATGTTTATACTCTTACGTGCTATTAAAGGTCAAGCCGTAGCTGACTTCATAGCAGCACACCTGATCCCTGCTGAGTCCCCTCTAAATGATGACCTCCCAGATGAACATATTATGATTTTAGAGGAGCAAGAAGGAAATACTTGGGAATTATATTTTGATGGTGCCGCATCTTCACAAAAGATTGGAGAACCTCAGGAAGTAATCCCAGGGAAGGCCGGTATCGGGTTGGTTTTCATAACCCCTGAAAAAAGGATTGTTGCATTATTCTTATCATTTATTAGAGCCTTGTACTAATAACGAAGCTGAATACGAAGCTCTAATAACTGGTTTAGAATTAGCAATATCAATGGAAATCGAGGAAATCAAGATCTTTGGAGATTCTCAACTTATTATCAATCAAGTTGCTGGTATTTACAAAGTCTTGAAACCTAAACTTCTTCCATACTATCAGTACACTATGAAGCTTCTCGAACAAATTCCAAATGTAACTTTGTATAAGGTACCCCGTGGAAGAAATTCTATGGCGGATGCCCTTGCAAAACTTGCAAAAGAGTTAGCTTGTATAGAAGAAGAGTCAATCTCTATAGAAGTTCAAGGTCGCAAAATCTTATCTCCTATAGACTTGGAATACATAAATAGAATTTTTCCTTCTAAGGGTGAGATTGTTCTTGCTGTTAATGATGAAACGGTTGA